TTTACTAGGAAAAACTACTGAGAGTCTTTTGAGTCTCAGTTATGGATCTATTCCGCACCATATAAACACATGAATGGTGTACACATGCACACAATACAGTACACAAATCCTATATATCCTTGGCCAAATCCCTGGTGTGGTGCTTGATTTGCTATGCTGTCTGCGCGTTCATTACGCATGCGCATAATTGTGGTCAAAAGGTTAGCGCGTGCTTTGACTGTGCACACTTGTACGATTTGCGTCCGAGATCACCTACCTGCTACTTTACTGGAAAGAGACACACAGGGATGGCTCAACAGCAGCAGGAGGAGAAGGAGAAGAAGTCGTTCGAGCGGCTGCCCGTGGACGTGGTCCCAGTCAACTACAAGCTGGAGCTGACGCCAAACCTGACGCCTTCACCTTCCAGGGCCAGCTGGAGATTACCGTCCAGGTATGATGTGCCGTTATAATCCACGTCCCCTGAAATCCTCGTTCGAGGGCCCGTACTTTAACTGTGGGTAATCACAGCTACACCCAATATTTGAATTGGGGAGCACTCACTTTTCGGTGTGTGACAGAATAACGAGCTCTTGCAGGGATATGATTTCTCAGTTCCATTTGCCTACTTGTCAGCTCTAGAGTCCCACTCTAAGTGTTAGTATATGTGAAATTTCACCAGCTGTCTGTGTGGGGCCATTCAAAACGGCGTTCTTATGACGAAAATACAGGTCTGACTGCCCCTTTGATTCGCCAATGCAGAACACGTAACTAAACTTGGGTTCTGTGACGTGCAGGTTTGCAAGGCCACTAGTGTTGTTGTGATGAACTGTGCGGAGATCGAGATACAGTCGGCCAAGTGTGTACAGGGAGATCTCGGTGAGTCCTGCCCCACGTGGTTGTCTGGTGTAGTCTCCTGCCATAGTTTCAGAGGGAGAACAGTCCGCTTGAGAACTAATCTGTGTAAAAGTTCTCATGAAGAATTTAGACAAAAAATGTTTTCTTAATGTGTGAGAGTATATACATTATGTGGTAGATTAGCATTTCCTCCTTCCGACCCTAGAGATGGGGGCAGTGTGGTTTTCTAGTAGTAGGTAGTAATAGTACTACTGGAGTCAATGGACCTGTTGCACGAATGCAAAAGTATGCACGGCAGTAAAGTGGGCGGAGATAATTGAACGTGACGTCACATCCGGCAGTCTCGCTGTTTCGGGCTCCAGCATGTATTGCGTCTACTGAGAAATGACCCGCCGGTACTATGAGCGGGTCGCAGCACGTAGCTTTTTACGGTCATGCTCGTATTTATAAGTTACTATTGCGATATATCAGTTACCGTAGTGTGTGGTGTGAAAAACGATACGGACGCTGCTAGCTGGTTCCTAGTCGCGAGATCTGGGCTGTAGAAAGGATAGGTTATTGGTATCATGACTGGATCGATGTGTTCTGTGTGGCTCTACACGTGTACACACAGACCTGATGCCCTCTGTTTTTCCAGGTTAAGCTGAGCTCTTGCTCGGGTCTCCTCAGGAAAGTGTCGGCTACACGAGCGAGAATATGGTTTTTTACAGCGTCATGCAACCTAGTGTAGATTGGCAATGCCACCTCGCTCATCGCCGGTTTTTCAGCCGTGAACGGTGAAAATGAGGCTCCAGGGAGCCGTAGAACGCAATACATTGCTAGAGCCCGAACGAGACTCCGGATGTGACGTCACGTTCAATTTAAAACTAATGCATTCCTTGTGCCGTTGTGCAACTGGTCCATTGTCTTGGACTCAAGGTTGAATGGCTTGTGGTTGCTGAAGTGTGACCACAATGACTAGTTGAGTTGATGCATGATCCCCCACTTAAAGCCCTGCTGTGGTTGGCAGCTTGCTAGACCTAACTGGTGTATATACATATTGGGCTCCCCTGTTGAACTCTTATTCACCAGACTCTCTGGGAGGATTTAGAGTGAGAAAGCTATATAGTCCCCCTCTGTAGGATGAGTTCTTCCGTAGGAACACCAAGTGGAAGGAGGAATACTATCGAGGAACCATATAGTGCCCCCAGGCCCTTTGCACATAATTTTTTGGGCATTTTTGTTTTTTGCACACTCCGAACTAGTCATTGGAACCATGTGATGTCGGGCCCTGTAGTAGCGTCCTCATTTCGCTTGGAATGCCACAGCCCCAGGATCTCTAGCCTCGTAAAGCCACGTTGTTTCCCATGAGTCGCCATGTAATAATAATGCTTACTACAGCCAGTACAATACATGCATAATAAACTGTCCCCTTCCCTTTGTCAAAAACGTGCAGCACTGGCTGAAAAATTAACCCAGTTTTATCATGCGGAGCTCAAACAGGCCCACCATGTGTTGTTTAAACTTTCCGCAAGAAGCACGTATCCCTCCTCTCCCCAGTTGCAACTGTGACCTTCACCGAGGCGGAGGAGACTGTGAGTCTGGAGTTCCCGACCCAGCTGGCCCCCGGGGAAGCCACTCTGACCCTGCAGTACACAGGGAAGCTCAACGACCAAATGAGAGGGTTCTACCGCTCCAAGTACACTGACCCCAACTCCCCCGGGACCGAAATATGCCGCCACCACGCAGTTTGAGGTGCTCTGTGTGATGATGAGTGGTCTGCCCATAGCGATCAGTAGTGGTCAATTTGCTTCAGCTAGTTGTCCACCACGGGCCGGCAAATAACCACCACACCAGATCAAATTGTACTTTTGGGGGTAGTAGTGACCCAGCTAGTCTACACTCTGTTGTTTTGCCATCCTATCCATTGTAGGCTGAACCCTGTGTTACGGTTTTGAGAGGCTGAACCATGTTCGTCTCGGTCGATTAAGTAACCAACTGTAGTCTTCTCCCTCAGTATGTTGGTCACAGTATGCATGTCCAGAGTATCCCTGGGTGAAGGTGTAGGTAGAAATGCTCAACAAGGATCCTAAGTCTGTGCACTCTGATGTGCCGAGAGTGTGTTCAATTTCTATCTTTTCACTGTTTGATGCACTGCTTATGTCTTGAGCATAGCTTTGCATGAGTATACATGTACACACCAACCATAGTTTTTAGTAGAGTGTTCTCAAGTCTGAGTATGTTATGTTATCACCTCTGTTCCAACTCTCGTTGCTATCTATCTCCTACCTCCACTCTGTTTGTGCCTACTCTGACACCACCCCAGGCGGCTGATGCGAGGCGAGCTCTGCCATGTTGGGATGAACCAGCTCACAAGGCCACCTTTGACGTGACCCTGATTGTCCCCAAAGACAGGGTCGCCCTCTCTAACATGTACAGTGGTCACTAGTGTAGTAATAGCCAAACCAACGTGCAATTTCTGAGCTGAAAGCTAATTTATGCACCTGATGTGTTTTGGTTTTATGTTGTGGCAAAATGCATCTAAGTCTATTCCTGATCTATGAGCTCTAGCACTGCTTTTGTACATATTTGTGTGAGCCAAATAACTGTAGTGTCGTCTGGGTTAACTTGTTCCCATTTTATAAGAACTGTTCCCCCTGAAACTGATTTCTTGAAGAATGCACTGGTGTACTGTAGTGTATATACTACACGCATAGTACCTAGCAATGCAAATGTTTGTGTAGCTCACCGGATCATTATGACGATAGCACCCTGTTCCTTGTGTCTGACTAGAACGAGGTGGAGTGTGTGGAGATGGAGGGGGGACTGAAGAAGGTCACATTTGCCCGTACCCCCATCATGTCTTCCTACCTCCTGGCCTTCATTGTGGGGGAGTTTGACTTCGTGGAGGACACTGACTCCAACGGAGTGAGGGTCAGAGTCTATACTCCAGTCGGGAAGGCAGACGACGGCAAGTTTGCTCTGAACGTGAGTTGCTACATGTCGCATAACTAAGCCATTGCTAACAGTTTGATGAAGTAATGCAGTTTAATGCTGCTTCATGTGACCACCGAATTGACCCTAACCAGTGCCTAAGAAATTTTACACATGTCTAAAGTACTTCTTCTTTTCCGTTTCCTTCCTCCCCCCCTCCTCCTCCCTCACCACTAATCTAGCCTGCATACCAGTCCCCTTCATCCTTCCCTCCCTCTCATTTCTCTCTCCACGACTTGCTACAGAACCACACATGGCTTTAGTAGTGTAAATATAGCCAACTTGACCTACGTACAATGATGAAGTGCTACAATATAGAGTGAGACACGTCTTTTTCCTTTTGGCAGGTGGCAGTCAAGACTCTTCCGTTCTACAAGGACTACTTCAAAATTGCCTACCCTCTCCCCAAAATGGACCTCATTGCCATTCAGGTACATAGGTGTACCATCATATGATAGTAACATGATGAAGGCAACGGGATGTGTGCTGAAGGATTGCAGAAGGGAAAAAGAAGCTGAGTCTAAGAAGAATGGATGAATGGGGACTGGTGACTTATCAGGTGAGTTCCGTTGCATGCTATTGAAGATCCTCTTCTCCCTACCCTACTCTTCCTCCTTAAAACCAACTTACCATCATCAACTCCTCAATGATTTATCCCCCTAAGCAAAGTCCGAATCTTCCATCTCTTTTACCGCATGGCAATCTCCCAGCCTCCCCTCATAACCCCTACCCCTCATAAACTATCCCCCCGACTCTCAGCCTCCCCCCTCTCCCCCTCTCCCTCTTTCCCTCTACATTTTCACCCTTCCTCTCCCTCCTCCTACTCCCAGAGAGAGACTACTGTTGGTCAACCCAGCCTCCTCCACCATCACCAAACAACTGGTGGCCCTTGTGGTTGGTGAGTTTCTCAGGAAAACTCTATCATAAAATCCGTACTATGTATCTTTATGCTTGATACTGTCATAATCAGTTGTGTGTATTTTCAGATCTTGTTTCAATATGCTGTGTAAACTTTCGTTCTCCTATATACTATCAGGTCATGAGCTGGCTCACCAGTGGTTTGGGAACCTGGTAAGACCCTAGCTGTAGCAAGTAGTAGTCAGCTAGAGAAGTGTTGTGCTCCATTCAGACAGGACTCTCTCATATGTTTATGTGCCCTAAAACTGGTGTTAATGTCACCTTTAGAAAATAATTTGTGTCCATCAATATGTACAAACTGAACTGAGGGTCCATTTGAAAAGTGGAATAGCCAATCTGCCAATACATTCTGCCTTTTAAGAATCATCATACCAATTTCAATGTACGTGTATTAAAGTGTCAGATGAGTGTCATGTGACTGTCAGGTGACGATGGAGTGGTGGACCCACCTCTGGCTCAACGAGGGATTCGCCACCTGGATAGAGTACCTGTGTGTTGACCACACCCACCCAGAGTACGAGATATGGACCAACTTCCTGTCCCGAGAGTATGCCAGTGCCATGAGTCTGGACGCCCTCGCCAGCAGCCACCCCATCGAGGTCTGGTTCCTATTTCTCTGTATGGAGGGGAGGGAGGTGGCAAATGAAGCAACCCCCCTTCAGCAAGTGTTGCCGTCTTCTATATGCCGTCCTATATATTTTCCTTAGGATGTAATCTCACAGAATAAAATTTTGTAGGATATGAGTATAAAATTTTGCAGGGTGTACGCATTTCAGGATATAAATTGCAGGAAATTTTGTCCTTACCATCCGTGAAAATACTGGGCACTGTTCCACGTTTGATGGAATGCTAATATTTTTTTTGGTCAGATTCATCAACTTTACATCATGGTCCTTCTAATTGTCCACTTTTGTGTATAGGTGCCAGTGGGGCCACCGTCTGAGGTGGAGGAGATATTTGACGCCATATCCTACTGCAAGGGATCTTGTGTCATCAGGATGCTGCACGAATGGATCGGACAAGAGGTGAGACAGACAGTGATCTACAATGTACTCTCATTCACTGCTCTACTGTGACGTTGTCTGATCCACAGAGCTTCCAAAAGGGTCTGAACACTTACCTCACCACCTTTGCCTACAAGAATGCCTCCACTGGTTAGGATTTTAATTCTGAGTGTCTTGGTCTGCTTCACCTTGTTTTGGCGAACTGGTGTCTAATATCTTCTGCTAGTTGTAGCAGGGTACTGTATTTGGCCAGCTCCGCCTTGCAAGGTTTTATCTTCAATGTATATACAACATTTAGACTTCTTAGTCTTCACTGGCTGTTTTTTTTAAAATTTTTTATAGTCTCTCGCATTAAACTCTAGAGCTGAAAGCTAGTAAATGCCAAAAACCAGAAAAGAAGAGTTACGAACAACACACAGTCACAAGCGTTATGTAGCTATCTGTGTGTTAGATAAACTGCTTGTGCCTCCTAATGTACCGTACCACAGGAGACCTGTGGGCTCATCTGGAGACGACCTCAGGGAAGCCGGTGGCTGACGTGATGAGCACTTGGACCCAGCAACTTGGCTACCCTGTCATCACTGTGGAGGCCAAGCAGGTGAGAGCACACTACTCTCCTGCCACTGTGTGGAGTAAAGAGGATTATAGTTTGAATGTGCTGTTTGTAGGGCGCTAAGTATGTATCTCTTGGGGAGGTGGGAAATTTCCGCCCTCCCTGAAAATGGTGATTTCTCCTCTAATGTGAAAGTATTATAACCTGGGTATCTACAGTTAGTTTCCCACTTCTCCTTCTGTGGTCCTTTTAGTTCTGCAGGTTAATGCGACTGTTATCTTCAATAATGCACCTTTTCTAGGCCTATTTTGCTGACTCCTCAAGCCCCGAGCCTGTTGACTTTCCCCCTGACCAAGTTTTCTCTCTCTCTCTCTCTGTCTCCTCTCAGGAAGGTGGCAATAGAGTCCTCACTCTGTCTCAGAGAAAATTCTGTGGAGACGGGAACATAACAGGTCAGGAAAACCTGATAAACCAGTTTGACCTCAACTAGTTGTGTGTGTCTGATAGGATTTGAGTCCATGCTATGGAAGGTGCCCATCGTCATAGCAACCAAGGGGAATCCCCAAGCTGCGTCGCTGGTGCTGACAGAGCAGTCGACTACCGTGACACTGGAGGGAGTGGGGGAGGGTGACTGGGTGCTGGTGAGTTGGGGGAGGGAGTGGGGGAGAATGACTGAGTTGGGGGAGGGAGTGGGGGAGGGTGACTGGGTGCTTGTGAGTTGGGGGAGGGAGTGGGGGAGAATGACTGAGTGCTGGTGAGTTGGGGGAGGGAGTGAGGGAGGAGAAAGGAGAGAGGGAGTAGGAAAGTGGAAGAAGATTGGTTTGGCAAGTAGACAACAGAATGAGAGGAAGAGAAGTGTATTCAAAATTCTTGTAGTGCTTGTGCACAGCAACTTGGCCGTGGAACTACAAAGTGCTACAATACTGTAAAAAAGGACCTTCTGAATAAAGGACATCTATTATAATAAAGGTTCTGTACTTACATGTATATCCAAATACGGGACGCCTCAATATGGCTCTGTTCTAACATCCAAAAAGGGGCGCCTCTGAATAATACCTGATAGACAAGCAATGTTTGTGTGTGTGTGCAGGTGAATCTGGATAGGGTAGGTTTCTACCGAGTGTCCTACTCCTCTGAGCTGTTCCAGAGTCTGACCCCTGCCCTCACTAGCCACACCCTCTCCCCCCGAGACCGCCTCGGACTGCAGAATGACGCATTGCCATGGTATGCACTACATTATACGTATACACATTGCCGCACTGCGAATCAATCGAGATCAGCAAAATTCATGATTGATGTGTAACAGCAACTCCCCCTTTCTCCTTCAAAGAACAGCCTAATTAGTGACCATGAACGACATCTGCATCTCATCGTGTTTGCATTTTACGAGGCAAATACTCTGACAACTTGTTTTTCGAGTGCCCAGTTGGACGTGCTCCATTTTCATTGCCGCTGCGGGTGATTTTGGCGGCTTTTGAAAACGGCCCCCCACCTGGTCCTTTCAGAGCCACTCTGTGGGCATTTTCATCACCACTTCCATCGTTTCATACAAAAGTGTTTGTTTACGCTGTACGTGTCCACAGCGACACAGTTTATGTATTGCTGAGGGATTCACTACAACTGATGTACGTAGGTTCACAAGGTGGTACATGCATGCTTGAAATTACTGTGTATCGTAGATTGGTCTTCATTGACGTATGTACAGTATGTTCCACCTCCTCTTTCTCTCTCTGTGTGTGGCTGCAGGCTCGGTCAGGAGAGTTGGTAGTACAGTTGACGTACTGGCTCATGTTCGCGTCCTACCTACTGAGACCAGCTACCACGTCTGGGGAGAGCTGTGGGGTCTCCACAACTGATCTGCTGTACAGCATGTGGTGCTCATGGCAGTTCATATTGATAGGTTTTCACATCTGCCAGTCCTCAAAATCAAGTCCATGAATATTTGGCACTTTATATAATGTGTGCCTCTCATTCTCCTATGATATTCTCTCTTCCTCTCTCTGTCTCTTTTCCCTCATTATTCACTCGAGGCTGGCACCCTGGCGACCATCAGTCGTCTTCTCTCCCACACTGGACTACTACCCAGTTCAAAGCCTCATGCCCAGAAGATATTTGAGAAGGCAGTGGCCAGACTTGGCTGGGACAGCAAGGACTCTGACAGTGAGTGTGAACTGAGTGAAACCTCTCTCCTCTTCCTTACTCTTTCCCCTCTTATCACTCCTTTCCCCCTTCCTCTCCATCCCCTCTCCTGTACTCATTCACCTTCTCCTTGCCCTTCCTCCCGATCATCTTCCCTTCTCTTGCCCCCTACCACTCTCCCTCATCTACTCTTTCTTTTGTGACTCCCCCATCTACTGCTTTCTGTGTCCCATTCTCTTGTTACCTTCTCCCTCTCAGCTCCACTGACTCAATGCTGAGGGTCGTGATAGGAGCACATGGGAAGTATGGAAATCAAGCACCATTGAGAGGCTAAGGCCAGGTAAAAGTGCTGTTTAATTGAAAAGCGAAACAGCCTACCGATTCATCATCTGAACTGCTCGTTTTTTTATTCAAGTAACAAGCGACTCTGCGCCATGAAATATGGCATGCCACACATCGCGTACTGTACAGCTGTTTGAAGCACTTGTTCACAAAACAATACAGTGATCTATGCTTAACACTTAACCAGCCACGCGACACATAAAATGTGTCTCTTGTCTCCATACGTCCAGCAAGATTTTATATGGATGTTTATAAGTCTACATATGTTCATCGCTTTTTGCTTGATATATATTAGTGGCGTGGAGGGGAAAGGTCTCAAGTCCTCTACTCTAATTTTGATAGACTGTTTTCAGTGTTGTATGCTAGTAGTTATAAACCCTACCGTGTACTGTGCTCATGACAGGCAGCATTAAAACCTTATATAGATGAACTGCATTATGATAGATTAATGGCTCAAGCCCAGCACTGTACAGTATAATCTTGGAGTGTTGACTTGAGGTTTACCGTTGACTTGAGTCTCTGCCGTTCTCCTCAGGTTCCAGAAGCATGTTGAAGGGACAACTGTGCTGCCATCAGGACCTGAAGTCAGCAGTGTCTCTATGGCCATGGCTAATGGAGACGAGACCCCTTTGATCACTGGTCAAGTGTGCTTTAGAGAGAGAGAGGAGGATAAGAGAGGAGGAGGGAGTATGTGAGTACATGAGTGCATGTGAGAAAGCATTTTGAAGTAGCTCCCTCCTTGGGATTGTCATATTTTGGGGGTGTGTAGTATAACTGCCAACTATCCACCCACTTTTAACATAGTATGTGGACGTGGGAATCAAGGTGCATGTCGCTGAGAGTGTAAGAACGCACTATCATGTCAGAATTTGGTTGATTGAGCGCCGCCACAACTGGGCTCTGTCAGCCAACTTTTATCGCACACCACCCATCAGTAGTTCCTTCTCACATGATGAATAGTTTGTGGTGTGCCTACTATCACGACGGATCGCTCCGGCGTATGTGTCGTTAGTCATGATGTCCATTTACCAGAGGCTACGATATGCGTATGAGCTAACCAAAAAAGCTATCCACTGTATGAGTTGCAACGTACGTCTCTATAAGGTTGCGAGCTTGTGTCCGCCATCCACAACCCCCTGCCATCCACAAATCTTCCCCTCCATGCACAGCTCCATGCTGCCACAGACTCTAACGAGGAGCAGGTCAGGATATACAGGTCTCTGGGAGCTGGCAAGACTGAGGCTCTCACCAAGAAATTCCTTGAGTTTGCTGTCTCTGTAAGCCCATGGATTTTATTGGTTCATAGTGTTGTAGCAAGTTTATGCCCTTGCTGGGATTTTTTCGCTTGACTATATTCCCCTAACCTAAACAGGGTTTGTGAGCTACAGCATGCACATTACTAATAAGTATGTAAGTTTGCTTAAACCATGACGTTTGAAGTGACCACTCACATAATTATCCTCCTAAACATTACTGAGCTTCAGGCAAGTATACCCTGCATTTGCCCCCTTCTCTGCAAAATCTCTAAAGGGAACAGTGACAAGTGCACCTGTCGAAAGCACCTTTCCATAATTTCTGTACCCCTGCTGCAGGACAAGGTTCGACCCAATGAACTGTGGAGTCTGTTGTTCTCAGCCAGACAGGCCAGTCCTCGGTCCAGAGACATGGTCTGGGAGTTTGTGCAGGAGAAATGGACATGGCTGAAGGAACGCTACCAGGGCAGCTTCCTGCTGGACAGGGTTGCTGAGGTTTGTCAAGGGAAAGGCAGAAAGGCAGAGAAAGGGAAACATGCTCAGCTGCTATATACATTGATACACAGTCCTAATGTGGAGATGTAGCTACATATTTATAGTCCTCGATTAGCAAGTGGGCCGGGTTGGCTATCAAATGCACAGCCTCATTGCCACGCATGAGTGCTGCATGAAACGTTTTGTGTGAATATTATCACACTTTGGCAACCTATAGTCGCTGTTCATTCAGTGATTGCACACCAAATTTAAACTGTGCACTGTAGGTGGCCACGTCAGGGTTTGTTACAGAGGAGAAGGCAGTGGAGGTTGAGGCGTCCTTCAAGAGTAACCCAGCTCCCTCAACTGAGAGGGTGGTCAAACAAAACTGTGAGGCCATCAGACTCAACGCCAAGTGGCTGGAGAGAGATTCTAACGCCATCCAGGAGTGGCTCAAGAACCAGTGAACTCAGACTGAAATTTATTTTGCATAAGGCGTGTGTAATGATCCTTAGAAATGAACCCTAGTTGGTGTCTCGGGGCGGAAGTTTGGACAGCGCGACGCGCACGCGCATGCGAACGAAATACTTACTGGCATACGCATGCGCGACATGCTCAATAACAAAAACTCCGAACGAACAAGGCTCGCTGCACCCGCGCATAATAGCTACCGTCGTCGTGAAACATCATTGTTTCGAGGGAAAATGCTGCAGTGCATTATTCTGACCCTACTGGGGGCGCTAGTCCTGACGGAGTGCACGGAGCTTCCTGAGGCCTGCAGACCTCGAGGTTAGAATTGCTACGCAGAGACCATTGCCATTTTATTTTCTGCACAAACTGCAGTCCCAGACTGTCCGGAGGAAAATGAGGCTCAACCAGATTGTCCCACCTGTTGCTGCACCTCCAGTTTAAACGTGGAATTCTACGATTCGACGTCTGAAGAGCCTGAGTGTACTGCACCGCCAGCCATCTATGAAGTCTCCTTTACCTACACCCTGACCGACGCCTGCTTCCCTGACTCCAATGCTAGTACAGCAGGATGGTCTCGACCAAGTGTATTCTCTCACAACAGTGGCTTCAGACTGTGGGATGCCTGCATGGACAATATCAGAGAGGGAGTGGCTCTATTCTCAACTACAGGGAACCTAGATGGTGTTACTGGTGAAGGTGTTCTTGCAGCTCTGTCCGCAAATACTGTTTTAGATGGACCAATATTTGACGGAAGTGCAGTCGCAGAAGGTGCTGGTGGAACATCCATAAATTATATCTAACAGTAGACAAGAACCATCAGCTTGTGTCAACACTCACTAGGTTAACGTCAAGCCCTGATCAAGTGGTGGGCGTGGCAGATCTTCGTCTGTGTGATGGAGACACGTGGAGGGAGAGTGTGAAGGTCTGTTTCGAGCTCTTCTCAACTGCTGCAGCCTCAGAGAGAGTGGCGTCTGAGATGCAGAGGAACAGCGTGCAGGGAAGCAGCTGCAGCTTTGGCTACATTGAGTTTAACCTTATTGAGGTGAGCTTTTAGGAGAGAAACTTTGAAGACACTTGAAGACACTGTCCAATTCCTGCAGATGCAGTCTACAACAGGAGGGCCGGGTGCGGTCACAGAGACCACAAGTGCAGCATTTGTGCTGCTGGTTGCTCTACTGCTTCTCTTTGTTTAGGACACAGATTTGAACTGACTGTGAATGCTATAGCTATAATATAGTACTGCATCTTTAGACACTAGACATCCACGTGCAAAAGCACATTGACTTTTTAATTAAAGTTCTTGTTGGGGTGAGCTTTTAGGAGTAAAATTTTGTAATCTAAATGCAGTCTGCTGGTACCGGCACACTGACAGCAGTGCCATGGTTGTTCTGCCTGTGGCTCTACTTCTTTGCGTTGTTAAACCAGCATCAGCTCCAGCAGTACCAGGACTATGTACACCATGAGTACCAGTATCAACACCGCTAGCATCAGCTCTAACGGTAGTACTACTAATCAGATCGTAGGTAGACGCTCTATATAGGGATGAGACGAGTGAAATCTCACGTGATCCGCGTACAAAACGCTCAAACTCAGGACGAAGACTCACCATGGCTTCAAAATCACGAGCAATAGTCTAGAGGCCATACCTAGCTATACATATGCCCCAGGACTTCCTACGTGCCCGCAGTCCCCATAGGGGAATCGACACTTACCGATTTCGCATTTGGTCGTGTATCATAATCATCATTAATATTTTCTTCTTCTTCTTCTTCTCTTCTTCTTCTTCTTCAGACCGCTATCTCCTTACCGAAGCGTTGAAGCGTTTGATTTTTCAGAGAACGTCTCAAAATTTGCGGAGGTGTGCACGCATATTCCAAGCGATCGCTGTTTTCTTGCCGGGCAAGTCACTACGGTAGATCGTTGGAGCTCTTCCACAGTAGTCAGCATGGGACACCGCTTTGCTGCTAACTACGAATCAGTTGAGCGCCAGAATGCGCGAGAGGGGCGTTTCCCCAATGCGGTGCGCGCGATTACTATAGTCTCGTGCGCGCGTGAACCAGGACTACGGTCTACGAGGACTACTAAGCCAGGATGCTGCAGAGAACCTTAGCCTCCAGTGCCTTCGTAGTCAGTATACGCCTTTTTAACTGCAGCTTACGTTTGCTGTTGAATTGTACGAGGAGCAACTTGCAGTGTGCGCCGTGTACGCGGGCCTGTAGCGCCTTCATTTTTGTCCCCAGGTTATAGCTATCCTTGTAGTCTGATTACTGAAGCCTGCCTACGAAACCACCCACCATATGTCGCCTACAACCTAATTGCATCGTGTTGGCGACACTACGCATTACCACCTGCTTTGCAGGTTACATTAGGCTTCATATGCGTTCAACAGTTATTCTACAACACCCATGAACATCAGAGTGGACCGAAAATGCAGAAAGCATTGAACGAGTGGAACCAAGTGTGGAAAAAACCATTTCTTCAAAATGAAGGGTTGATATAGGGATGGATTGAAAGCACCGAAAAAGAAAGGAGAAAAAGGGGGGTCATTACACAGCAAAGATGACACCAAGGCTAATGACACCATCCGATAATATCTTTGTGTGTATATATAGTCACAAGAAAGTTTTACTATGGACAAAAGATATAGGGATGGTATCATGTTAGACTTGGGCATCTTTGCTGTGTAATGACCCCTTGTTTCTTCTTGTGGTGCTTCAAGCCATCCCTATATCACCCCTTCATTTTGAAGAAATGAGTTTTCCACTTGTAACTTTACCACCAGGACCACCACCGGGAAGCCTTGATCTAACCTAATTGCACAAACTCTGCTGAGCTTTTATGTTTTTATTTCTAAATCACGTAGCTCGATTTCCTTTCTTCTTTCTTCATTCAGTTCCTTTATCATTTTATTATAATATATACTCCATGTGTATTTCCTCAACACTTTGCCTTTCTCTTTGAAGCTCATCCTCTTTTGACTGGATTTCTTGCCTCAATTCTCTCATTCCAGACTTACATAGTTCTCTCATCCAATTTCGTCATAGCTTTCTCTAGAGCAACCTTTTCTTCCTCTAGGGAGGAGATATGGAGATTTAGCTGTTCATTCAGGTCCGTCGCCTGTTCGTAATTGTTTCGAATTTCCTCCTGTTTGGCTTGCTATTCATACCTCTCACTGTCATGGTGCTCTTGCATGAGTCTAATTTCCTGCAGTAATTTATGGAATTGGCTGTTCGTAGCGTGTGTTGATAATCTTCCATTTGAATACGAACGCTTTCCTTATAAACTCTATAGAATAGGACGAATAGGAGTGACACTCCAATGATCAGAGTCGACGCAAACGCGTAGGAAAAATAGTTCACACACTCGGGTCCTTCATATCGAAAAGGGTAATCTTCCAGCATATCATCCATTGTCTCCCCGCCTTGCTTGAGCCCGCCGCATTTTATGGGCTCGCGAAAGGGGGCGTGACCGCCCACAAGTTATAAAGATCAGGCGCGCAAAAGTTGTTGAGTCGAAACATCAACATCATGAGCACAGTTCAATTGCGCAGAGTACCATTGGTCCACCGCCTGTACCATAAAAAACTGGCAAGACTTACGAATGAAAACTCCGAGAGTGCCTCTGTTTCAGAAAGAGAATGGAGTCTGGAACCAGAGACTACTACCTCAACAAATCCAGTGGCTCAAAAGCAGCAAGAAACGCAACTGGCGCAGCAAGAAGAACGCCGCATGAAAGTAGTTTTGCAGGAGAAACAAGAAGACCTTTACAATGCAACGCAGAATGATAATGGACCTTCATATGCCCCTCTGGTGAAAGTGTGTTGGGGGATCGCTTCGGTACTGCTAATTCTCCTTATATGCCATGTTTCCATTAAAATTTTAAACATTAACAACAGGTTAGCAACGATTGTGCGTGGGCGTATGTTTCAGATATTTTTTTCAATGGCACAGCAAAAACGCTGGTGATTTATGGTGAATTTAGGTATATTATTTTTCTGATTTTTCCTACCTTGTTTTCCAAACTCATTAGCATATTCGTATTCTTCCTCAATACATTCTCTATGGGAGAGAAAACCCGTGCGCGACTCACCCAGGATCGAGCGAACGGTCCGTCTCCATTATGCGCAAAGGCGTTCTTTTCACGTTGACCTTTGCCACCCGGTCACGCCCTTTTTTTCTATACGCAAAATTAGCTTCCGCGTATATCCGAAGTAATGCAAAAGAAAGCCGCTAGCGCATAATGGAGACGGACGTTCGCTCCTGGGTGAGTCGCGCACGGTTTTCTCTCCCATAGAGAATGTATTGAGGAGGAATATGAATATGCTATGAGTTGGAAAACAAGGTAGGAAAAATCCGAAAAATATACCTAAATTCACCATAATCACCAGCGTTTTTGCTGTGCTATTGAAAAAAATATCTGAAACATACGCCCACGCACAATCGTTGCTAATCTTGTAGCAGAGACTATGATTTTGATAGATGATCTTGACTGAAAATTATTCGTCATTGCTGGAAAAGCAAAAATTTCCTGATTGTGATCTTGGTCCGCGTGCCTCCTTTGCAGTGTACGGCCGTTTGGTCACCTAGGAGAAAGCTATAATAGAGGCCACGTAGTTAACCCTCGGCGCGCATGCGCAGCGATGGGTTACGTGTGTGTCTGTCTGTCTGTCTGTCTGTCTGTCCGTACCTCGATATCATGAATCGCTCCACATATTCAGCGTCGGGTATAGGGCGAAATATCTTTTCTCTGAAACTGCTGCGTTCGAGAGGTTTACGGCGTGAAACACGAGCGAAAGCCAATTGAAACCCTCGCTGCGCATGCGCGTCGAGGGTTGAGCGCAGTTGTCTTTGGGCTGCTTCTCTGCAACTTCCACAACTGTGGTATGACCGCGTAATTATGCACGCGAAAAACACCCGTGACATGACCCAACCTAAAAGCTCAGCAGAGTTTGTGGAATAACTCCAAATTTGAACCAGGTGCACGGAGCATACAAACTATACCGAGATCACCTGAAGAAGAATATTTGTTTGTTGAGAAGCCACCTTACGACTTCTACTGCCCTGTGTTAAAAGATTTGCTGCTCCAGCCACACCTCACATCGTGCTGCGGGCAACATTTCTCACAGTTAGCTGCCATCAGGATACAGAGAGAGGGAGGGGCATGTCCACTGTGCAAGGCCAATCATTGGAGCACTATGTTGAACAAACGGTCAACGTAGAGTAAATGAGCTCCAAATCTTCTGTTGTCATAAGGACAAAGGCTGTGAATGGGAGGGAAATCTCACCGATATTATCCTTCATATTCTGTCCTGCAGTCATTCGGTAAGGACCCCATTTCTTCTAGTGTGTTTACTATTCTGTTTATTACACAGGGACCTAAACCTAATGATTTCCCGTCAAAATTTCCCAAGTATATATCTTACCCCTTAGTGAGTTATAATGGAGTTTTAGAGTGGCGCCATATACTTTCAGGCACTGTTAGAGGCTGTTTCAAGTGGTGAATGGGACAAAGTGGAGTTATTGCTCAGTTATGGAGCAGACTTAAATCCTTCACCTTCTGTGGTATAGCTTTTCTTTGTATAATGCTCAAGAACAGCATTTCTCTATGGTAAAGTTTAAGGCCACTCCCTTGATTGCCTGTGGTACTAACGGAAGTTGTAATGCCTGCTGTTAGACAAATGAGCTGGTCCAAACCTGGCAGATGATGAGAGACCATTATCCTCTAAAAACTGTGGTTGGTAGTTGCACGTATCACCAGCAGCACAGACTCGATGCAAGTAGTAGCACCTCAAGTAACCTCAGAGATTTACGAAAAGTTTCTATCTCAGCTATTACTTTCCTGTTACGAATGCGGTTTTGCTGACCCACAGATTTAGTGGGTATTGTATGACAGTTACAGTGCATGATCTGCTGAAATGCACTCTGCACACTAAAGTGTAGTAATGTTGGGCAAAAGATTAATGACTGTTAGGTAAACTCTACTCTACTTGTTTCCTAACACACTGTATGCATGTGTAGTTGGATGGAAAATGCGATTTCGCTTGCCCTTGCAAAGTTCACATTAAACCGTACCCGCTAAAATTGTCACACTAAGGTAAGTTATAAGGGAATTCGTACTCTATGAGTGTCACATGCAGTCTCAACTAGACCTAATTCCTCAGGATTGCTGCTCTTTCTCCATGTTTGTCTTTTTCTCTTAGGAAGGTTGGACTCCACTAATGGCAGCAGCAAAAAAGGGTGTTATGATACTGTTGATGCTTTATTAGAAAGAGGGGCTCACCCTGATATACAGACTCCAGTGAGTCTCGTTGGAATTTAACTCTCAGCTATATTATTGCTCTTTGTCTACTATAGAAAGGGTGGACAGCACTGATGGAAGCAGTGGACAAAGGCCATGGGGACATTGCTCTGAGGATAATCGAGGCTGGAGCAAATCCACATATCCAACACAAGGTTTAGCCTTGCTACTGTTAATGTTTGCATGAACTTCATCTCTAATGCACAGGTCAACAAAACAAATGCTCTGCTGCTAGCTACTGAGCACGACCAGCTGGACAGGGTCGTGCATGCTCTACTGGACCGTATGGACTGTTCTTCCTGCTTAGATCTTCAGAATAGTGTATGTCTCTTACCAGCTAAACATATGTAGGGTCATCTACCCCTCCGTCTATAGGAATGGGATACTGCTCTTCTGATAAAAACAAAGTTCAACTGGTTAAATGGCTACTGTCTATGGGAGCTAACCCAAACATCAGTAACAAAGTAAGCTCGTTGTCTTTCTGTAACCTCCATACAGATTACAGACTGTTTTTTTTTGCATAGAATGGGGAAACCCCTGTTATTATTGCTCAGGGAGAAGACAAAAGAGACATTTTGGATCTCTTGCAAAGCTGTGCCAGACCAATAGTAAGTAGCTAGCTGAGTGCAACATTACCTTCCCAGGCTCTTTATTGGCGAGCGGGAGCGAGCTAACCTAGTGGTACGAACGGCGCGGAATCTAGCTACGACCGTACGTCGTCCAACTGCGCATGCTCCAAGATTACGCGCTTCTTTTTATCCGAAAGGATTTGTAAATTTCACATGCTGCCTGCCTGTCGTAATGTCGTGCGTATAATTATATGTACGTGCGTATACGCTTGTGTGTAGCTTCGTACTATCGCAATCATGGAAGGATCAGTCCAGAGAAGATGCCCTTCGTCGTCGAAGAGAGAGGGAGAACGTCGTGCCCGTGAGACTCCTGAGCAGAGAGGCTCGTTTGTATCAGCGTCGCTTTCGTGATAGGGAACGCGAAAATTTTTACACGCTGCCCTAGCTGTCATATCGATGAGAAATATAGCCAGCCAAAGAACTCTCGTCTATTTGCTGCCATTCGCTGCGCTCTTCTATACCTGACCGAGGCTGTCTATATACCTCCTTCCAATCTTCGTGATTCTAAGGTTCAAGTTGTAGGATGGCTCGTGCAGATAGAGTCATTGTGTGCTTGCTCCCGCTCGCCATGCATTCGCCTACTAGTATAGAAGGATATATATAGTCAGGCCAGGAAGTAGGTGTGGTTAATACGGTGCAGTGTGCGAATGCGCGCAGCCCTAAGCGGCCGGCCGGCCGTCGACGGCGCTATAGCGACGTGCGAATGCGTGTTCGCTGGACGACGGTAAGTGTACGGTACTTCTCTTTCTCATCCCTCACTAGGTCACTCAATCGACTAACTTCACACTGTGAGTTGATCCTCCAGGCGCTGGCGAGTCTCCTGTAGCTACCTGCTCAAGCTCTGTGCATCGCAATACTGCCAGAGATCAAGCGCGCTTTCACTAAGCTAAGGTTGCTGCATGCAGACTGCCGCTCTAGCGCTCGTTAAAAATGACCACGCCCTCAAATTCGAGCCAGAAGTGGTCCGGCCGAAACCGGACCGGCCGAAACCGGACCGGCCGGACCGCTTGCTACGGCCATGCTTCCATTCATTTCAATATGGCCAGAAGCTATGTGCGGTATGTCTCGCCTTATGCAGCATCATTCTGACAAACCCACTCTACAACTGCTTCTAAGATTTCCCAAAAAATCCGGAAGTGTCATCGAAATTATTGAACATATCGGAGATAAGCACCATGAACTGGGTGTCCGTCTCCTCGACGATGCTTCTGGTGATACCGTTTGCAAAATTGAGTCTCAGTATGGACCGGAAAAGACGCGCTTCGTCACTGAAGCTATTCTCCGGAGATGGCTGCTGGGAGCTGGGAGGAAACCACAATCCTGGACCACTCTCACTACTGTTCTGAGAGAGATCGAACTGAATGCATTGGCAGAAGAGATTGAGGATAACCTTGATCAACCCGGAGAAGACAGCCAACCTCAGCAGGAGCACACCACAGATCGCAACAATGATTCTTTACCGGTGGCCCCACTGAAGCAGCTCTTTGCTGGCCTGAGGCTTATTTTACCCTTGAGCGCATCGGTTCTAACAGTTCTGCTTCTACTCTTGCTCCAAACCAACCCTGTTCTCCCACCACCTCCACTAGGGAACATCTCAAACCAACTAATTCGTACCACCCACCAGCACCAACTGTTGCAACAGGATGCCAAACTCCTCCTCAAAGTGTAAACACGTAAAAATGACTGGTGAGCGGGAGCGAGCTATAACAGTTATCTAAAGTGCCCCAATTTTTCAATACGTTGTCCACTTACGCATACATTTAACTTCTGTTCTGCCGCTCATCTTGCTCCCACTCACCAAAAAAGCATTAATTTATACTAGTATTATTGTGGGAATTTTTGCCTCAATGCAGGGATGGTGACGGAAAGATTAAAGTTTCTGGAGTGCCAATCCTCTCGATGCAGGCTTTTCTCTACAATGGGAGGCAGGTTGACTTTATCTGGGAAGATGCTGGCATCAGTCTGCATATCCCTGAGTCACCTTATGAGGGAGAAATTGAAATTTCAGTCGCAATCTTCAGAACGAGCGACAAATACTGCATCTGGAGTGAGGGATATCGGTTTATGCCTCCAGCTAGTGCATGTTACAAGATCACAGCAAGTGACACTCTTCCCGTTCCTGTACGGGTCAGGATGCAACACTGTGCCATTGTAGAGAAGGAAGACTCTTTGGTCTATTTGGTAGCACACGGTGGCCCTCCTTTCATGTTCCAACCATTTCATGGAGGAAAGTTTCCAACTAACGAATCATATGGTGAAATTGAAATCACAGACTTTTCTTGGTGGCAAATTTTTTCCCCGTCAACAGTAGTAGCCATTCAAGTGGTGTATTTCGACGACAGCACTGCATGTATCGTGGTGACAAAGAACATTCCCTCAGATCGTACTGCTGTGAAGGAAGAGTACCCCAGTGCAACCGAAATTGATTCATACCCAATGACATGCCCGTGCACTACAACGAAACTTGCATTCTCCAAGGCAGACCCAAATTCTCACAAAGGATGGGGCATAAAACTGTTGACAACACCGGCTGAAATAAACATGAACATTGTCCATGGATACATCCGGCACTCCGTAGTTCCAAATATCAAAGTCAAACTGGAATGGGAGGGAGATGGGCCGCCTAAAGAAGAATACATACAGATACGAGTGAAAGGAGGAGAAGATATGGAGACATTTCCTTTGAAGTGCAGCCCTCCAGGGAGGCCAGCCGACCAGTACTCCCACCACAGCCAGCCTCCACATCCAGTAGAGGAATTGACAGGTAACTGACGAGACTATCAAAGAGAAGGCACACCATACTCTTGGCAAATTAATGAATATTGTCTCACATGTATCCCACACTGCCTGGACATTGTGGAAAGTAATGTCCATGCTGGGTATTTGAACATGGACAGGGCTGTTGTGCTCTGTGTAGTTATAACAGGTTTGCAGGAAACGCATTGCATTTTTTAACAAGCCATTATTGTCTGCAGTGGAACCCCTCTCTAAGGACACCCCTCAAATGAGAACACTTCTCTGATAAGGACATCTTCTCTTTCCCCTAGAACAGTTTCTTGCATGCATGTAACCTGGAATAAGGGCACCTCACAAATAAGGACACTTTCTTGTCTCCCATTGTGAGGTAGCTATAATTATCATGAATCCCCCTATAGGACCACAGTGTAACCAGATAGTCAGGAAACTGCATGGTGTGGACTGGGTGGAGCTGGCTAACCAACTGAATCTAGAAGATGAGATACATGCCATCGCTGGTGCTTGCCAACAAGAAAACCCAGTAGCGTGCAGGTTGAGACAAATTGTAGATAGATTCATAAACTCCCAGGACCTTGAACCGTGTTATATGACTGCGGAGAAGATTGCAGGTGTTCTTGAGGCACTTAAGTACACCAAGCAAGCCGACCTGATAAGAAGTGTGTGCCCCTCAAAAGGTGGGCTATTTCCACAACCCATTTTACAAGGTATAACTATAGTCTATTTGACTTCACCTGAGCCTTCGAAAAATTGTCATAACTCTGTAAAAACACTAACAGCATTGGAGTCCTCGCAGCTGAGGATATGCCTCACTGCGTTCTAAATCTAAGGTTAGCTGTATTTCCCATTAGAAAAGTATGCCATATGTAAAGTATGTGGTACCTGTATAAACAGTTTTACACAACCACTTCCAGAGCTCAGGTGAATGCGAAGAGACTATAGGTTTCTACTAGGTGCCCTCCACTTAGTCACTTGTACTTTACACTTGCAGGATAGCGTCACCACCAGAGGCAACTGTAGCACTCAGACTTGTAGCTAGTGTTCAAGATAATGTATCATACTTTGGAGCTGTTCCGCACTTGCAGCATCATAATATCAAACATGAAAATTAAAGTGCAGTCCGCACAGAGGGAGTGTCAGTAAAGTGACTGGTTTCCTACAGTTGGGACACTCTGTGACTTTGTCAGCACACAACTGACATGTTCCATTACCACACGGAGACAGGTTTTTTCTCTTGTCCAGCTACCTGGCCGCATGTCTGCTAGCTACCAGAAAGTCATGAAAAAACATGTTTATAATACTAGCTAAAAGAATAATGTGAGAGGAAAAGAATGAACCCTTAAATTAACCACCCCACCAAAATTAATAGACTCATAGAAACAAATATATATTTAAAAACTCTGAAACTTACGCAGTACGACTATGCAACTTAGAAACAATAAAATGTAAGGACAACAATAGCGTCAAATGTCTTGAGGGATGGAACCCTGCTGTATGAATTATTGTCCTGGTCTCAGTAGCTACCACACTTGGCTGGAGCAGAGAACTCGTCATATTTTTCTGTTTTACCTTTATCTATAATTATAGTCTAACCCCTAGCCCAGTTCCCTTATAGTGTACTGTATACTGAACTGAACTACCAGTAATGCCTTTTGTGATCTTTGTGTAGTAAATTTTGTTTACTAGTAAGAAAGTTTACGCTTTGGAAAAATCATTTCAAAGAGGATAGCTATAGGGAACATTTCACCATCTTTTATTCGAAGAATGTTTTATTTACTTGTTATAGCCCTCCAAAAAGTGATTTTACACCCCATTGTAAAAATGCTAACGCCATTGGAACCCTCACAACCTTCCTGTTCTGATGTATTCTTCAATAAGCTCAATGTCCCATAAGAAAAGTATATATGCCATAAGTAGAATATCTGGTGCATGTATAAACGTTCACACAACCACTTCAGGTTGTAGATGAAATATGCCTGCATCAATATTTAATTTCTGTTATGAGTTAGTGGAAAACTGTAGTTAAACTGCCAGGTATACCAATGCCGATAGCTGTAGATAGCTAATACGTACCAAAATGTGGGCTGGTGCTGTAAACATTCAGTGGTATCCGTGGTAACCTGCATGGAGATACAGATGGATTATAAATAATACTGTGCAAGGACTTCGTATACATTCTTAACACAAGCGAACATAGTTTGTACACAACACAAACTTACGTCTGATTTTTCGTCAGCTATATTCCTGTTTGGCAAAGTAGCTCATCCCTCAGAGCTGTTTCAAGAGTAGTCCAACTTAGCCCGCCCTTCTCTTTTACTTTTGTCACGTTTGAATAGCCACGCTTCCAAGATGCTATCACGATAATTTTCCAGCGCGCTATCTTTCTTGTTTGTGACCGTGGTATGAGAAAGTCCCAGGATCTGTCCGAGTGTTTTTAGTCCTTGTGTGCTCATTGGAATTTGGTAACGTTACACTTCTAGTATATCGTCAATGCCTGCAAGGGTAGGTACAAGGGGAATTTACTGTTGTGAAGAGGTTGGTATTTCTCAGTACTAGACTATGGCTTGCTTCGCTGTCGAATAGACAAACTCAAACAATTATTCTACTTGAGGTTGAGTGGGTACTTAACATGCAACGCCAACGCCTTCTTCCACCAGTTAGCTAATATGTTAGTACAGTGTGTGAATAGGTTTTTTTTAAATCCTAGATCAACTCCACAACTTCACAATAATTATATGACATTGACAAAAAAACCATACTACAATGCTAAACACAATGCATACCAAGTGTAGGTTGTTGTGTACTGGGAAGAGGTAGGAAGTGGCCTGGTTGCAGCCATTGACACTGCTGACTGCTGCTGTTTGCTTGCAGTACAGTACACACATGCATTCAGTGTTAGCTAGAGCTTGCAGAATTACAATGGGGATCTGTCCAAAACAACACAAGGCACCAGATTGGTGTAGTAATTCACTTACAAGCCTCGTCACACCAGGGAAGCACAGTGCCCAGCTCTGGCAGAGTCCCACCGACACCCATGTCACTGGTGCAGTTCCATTTTCCGTCCTTGATATTGGCTGTGTGGGCCTTGTCCGTGTGGCTCTTTGGACAGATGATGGCTGGCCGTGGCTTGTTGTTGGAGTATATAGCCCAGCACGTACGACACCTTTTCAATTCTGTTGTTGCCATAGTTTCTGTTCCTCTTCCACACTAGTGGTGTCTGAGATGTGGGCCTCAAAGTACTGGAAGTGATCCACCAGAGTGACGGAACCGAAATCTGGAACATGAAACTGGATGCAGTTGCGATACAAACACTTTGGCAGGTTGGAAGAGAGGTGGAGTTTCCAGGGGTGGGGGGTGAGGGTGCTGGGGAGACAGGACATGGGCCATTAGTGAGCAGAAGATTCCGTTCTGGGGACCTCCGTCGGGGAAGTCTACCACTAGGGGGCCGACCAACATGCACACTTCCTTTACGTTCTCCTCCGCCACTTGTCTCAAGACACTCGACATCAACCAGGTCTCTGGACCCTCCCCACTCTCCAGTTTGGCAAACACCAGCAGCTCCTCCAGAAGGTGGATCAGATCCTTGCAGCTGAAGATCCGGTGGAGGTAGTGGTTGCTGAATCGCTTGTCCTCCTGGAAGGCCTCACGTGTCCAAATTTCTTAAACTGCTGCCAGCCTAGAGGGAGGAGAGACTCGTCTGCTGTCTGGGAGGAGGTGGTGACTGCTTTCTCGAGAGGCGTGCCGTCTGTGCTGGTGGAGGTTGGCTCTGGCTTGTCAGTGTCTGGTCCAGGAGTCTGGTCTTTGGCTGCTGCCTTGTCCATCTTGTCTTCCTCTTCCGACTCAAACATGAACACCACCAGCTCCGAGACCTTATCCGGAATGACTTGTGGGTCGATGAACACCACTTCGGGGAGGATGTCGCGGAAGTAAAACATGAGGCTCCAGTTGTGGAAGAAATCTAGGGCTGTGTCGAAGGAGTCCTCCTCCAGCCCCAGAGACTGGGCCACACGCCAACATTCATCGCGACTCATCACCTGCCTCCCCAGATCCTTGGCCAGGCTTCGCAGCTTCTCCTCGAAGGCGTCCCATCTCACCGGGATCTCCACTTGCTTTGCCGGGCACAGCTCCAAGATGTAGCTCCGAACCTTCTCCGCTGTCTTCCTGTCCGTGTCGTCTGGATTCAGGGCATTGATCTGGAAGATTAGCGTCTTCTTGTCCTGTTGGGTGATCTGCTTCTCAAACTTTGCGGGATCAGCCGCTCATTCTTGTCTGCCACCGTTTCGGGGAGACATTTGTATGCCAGGTCGCGGTGTGTGCCTAGGAAGAGCAGCATTGAGGGCAGCCCCTTCGTTTTGGAGGTGAACGTGTTGATGGTTTGGATGAACTTCTTCAGGTTCTCTTCGTTGGTTCGGATGCAGCGGTAGGGCTTGGAGACAGCCTTGCCCCTGCGCCAGTAGCCAATCTGAGGGTGTTCGTCCAGTGACTGTGACAGGTCCATCACCAACACACAGGCCGACGTCTCGCCAAGGAACACGGCCATGGCTTCCATGAACTCGGGCTGTCCTCCACTGTCCACGACGTATACCACCGTCTCGTCCAGGAGCGTCTCGTGAGAGTCGCTGGGGATGTTGATGAGGGAGATGTACTCTTGGTCGTCCTCAGATGACTGCAGCGGGGACTCCAGTGTCACCTCCACTGGGGCTGCTCTGGATGACCTGTCAGGAATGGCTGTCGATGTGTTTTTAGTGAGACTGTCAGCGGTTTTCACTGGCTGTGTGGCTGCTGGGCTGAGGATGAGGGCTGGGCTGGACTGGGCTGGGCTGGGGAAGACAGAGCAAATGTGGGGAGGGACGCTTGGTCTTGGCTGTTGAGAGATGCTTGGCCTAGTCGCTGGGCCCGCTCTCGCAGGAGGCTGGCAATGTATTTCTTCTTCTCTTCCGGGTTCCTCTTCTTCCAGTGGACCTTGTCCTGGACGAAAACCACCTCTGTTTTAACGGGTCTCGTCAGGAGTGTGTGCTGGTCTTCTGCCAGTGGCTCCTCCTCAATCACTGTCTGTAGAGACGTTGATTTCCCACTGCCAGCAATCCCCACCATAACCAGTTTAGTTAGTTTCCGTTTGGTGACTCCTCGCTTCATTTCTTCTTGGTAGATCTTCTTGGCACGTCTTCTTCCTGGCAACATGTACATACTGTAATAAACATTCACTTGATACCGCCATCCCCACGTGCATGCATAGAAGAGCATGACTGCATACGTATATACACTGACCGAGCAGACTCATGCTAATCATAGTTACAATGGAATCATCATCTCAACCGGCTCCTAAGATTTTGTCGTTTGCATGTACATTTGTTATGGTTTTGTAGTATTTGGAATCTTAGGTCACTCTAACTAGCTACTCACTCTAACTAGATTTAGGTTAATTTCTGCATGCATAATTATACAAAAGTAGGTAAGTGGAGAAAGAGAAGAAGAGAGATATGATCACCAGTGGGGAATAGGGACAGGACTCTCTCTAGAACATGGTGATACCCTCCACCTCTCAGCTGGTAGAGGACATCTGACACATGCTCCCATGTCCGGTGAGGATGTTCAGTTGAAATCACTTTGAGCACTTCTGCTTTCCTCTCCTTTGACCGGGACAACTGAGACTCTATCTTATTCCGGATGGACCCTGGCACATCCATCTCCAGACCAAAGTCCCTCCACAGAGTACTAGGTAAAGAGTCCAGAGCTGACGCCAGGTTGGAGAGAGAGAGAGGCTGAGATCTGTGAGGATCAGAGGAACACTTTCATACAATATCAATAACTGCGACATGACCAGTCAACCATTTTCTCAACTTCTTGTTAGGGCTATGTTTTGAGTCCCGAAATATGTTGGTGGTTACTCAATGCTGGTTGCTCAACGCCATAAGAAGAACAGGTTATGAACACAGGTTATGAGCTAAGAACAATGGAAAATGCTGACCAGCAGATTTCGTGGCTTAAAATGCAAAACTTAAGTCAAGAACCAACGACATATCAACACACCAGCCACTACTGTAGAGGTGTGCATTTTCATATAAGCAAGTGTCATGAATAATGTTGCCTATAAGAGAGTGGGTGGGGTCTTCAACGGGGATCTTACAAACTCACAAGCTATGGGTTACCTATACTAATATACATACACATGGACAGAGTATTACAGTACTGTACTGTACATGTACATTCTGACCCTGTGTGTGTGGTAGCTAGGTATTGTCTGACAGTCTCCAGGGCCGTGTGCTCCTCCAGGAACCATAACACACCAGCTATATATCCTCCCCCACGACACACCAGGTACAGTCTGGAGGCAGTACAGTAAACCAGCCACTCTCTTCTCTTCTTCACTCGAGTATGATCCACTGTGTCTGATTTGTGACTCGGGAACACCAAGATAAAACAGTAGCCCAATCTCTATCGCCCCAGAACCGTCTCACATTAGCCACAGCATGTGCTACACAGTGTTGTCATCTGGAGGGAGAAGGGGCAATAGTGACAATAACAACCACAAAATGACTAACATCTTCATCTGTCTATGGGCTGAACTGGCTGTGATTTTTCCCCATCATGCATGTAAGGAATGAAAAGCACTAAAGTGCAAACCCTCGGTGAACTAGGCATGCGCGGTACCGCTAATTGATGGGCTGGGCTGCTAGTATACTCGTGTTCTCCCGCAGACACGGGCTAGCTACAGTAGTAGATAGCATGTGGGAGTCGATACACGCCCTTCGTTGTGACTTCTCGTGCCTTCAAGATACACAGAGCAAGCGGACCCATATAAGCGCATGCGCATTTTCCTCAGCGATAAAAATGGCCGACTACGCATCAGCCGTACAATGGCGGAAGCGCTCTAACTCTGCAACGGAGCATTTTCAGAGAAAACTGTTCGAAATTTCTGACCTTCATTGCCGGTTAGGTAGGTCGTATCTTTTGTGAGACGAACAGACACTCGAGAAGTGAGATTGAGTGTAACAGACAGACACACACACACACACACACACACACACACACAGACAAACCCAATGAAAAGCACTAAAGTGCAAACCCTCGGCGAAGTAGCTCGCAGAGAGTCTGACGCGGGCTAGCTACAGTTGTAGATAGCACGCGATAGTCGATACACGACACTCGTTGTGACTTCTTGTGCCTTCAAGATAGACAGAGCAAGCGGACCCGGTCCTGTGCTAAATATAAGCGCATGCGCATTAGGCCGCCAGCGATATAATGGCGACTACAGGCATTTGCCATACAATGCTGGAAGCGCTCTAGCTTAGCAACGGAGCATTTTCAGAGAAAACCGTTCAAAATTTCTGACCTTCATTGCCGGTTAAGTAGGTTGTATCGTTTGTGAGACGAACAGACATTCGAGAAGTGAGATTGAGAGTAACAGACAGACGTGCAAACCCTCGGCACCGCTAATTGATGGGCTGGGCTGCTATTAGTATGTAGTATACTCGTGGTCTCCCGCTAGTAGCGTCTGACACGTAGTAGATAGCATGTGGGAGTCGATACACGCCCTTCGTTTTGACTTCTCGTGCCTTCAAGATACACAGAGCAAGCGGACCCGAGCCTGTTCAAAATATAAGCGCATGCGCACTTTCCGCAGCGATAAAAATGGCCGACTAGTATTAGCCGTACAATGGCGGAAGCTCTCTAGCTTTGCAACGAAGCATTTTCAGAGAAAACTGTTCGAAATTTCTGACCTTCATTGCCCGTTAGGTAGGTCGTATCGTTTGTGAGACGAACAGACATTCGAGAAGTGAGATTGAGAGTAACAGACAGACACACACACAGACAGACCCAAGTGCTGTAACCCTCGCTGCGCATGCGCGCCGAGGGTTAACTACAGTAGCCTCGCTGCGCATGCGCGCCGAGGGTAATTAGTGTCAGCAATTTTACTGTCCGCTTTCCGCATTCCCTTTGTTTACATAACTTACTACTGTATAGCTTCCGCTAAACCGGATGCGATGCGACTTCTCAACGTGAACCAACTGTAGTGGAGTGCGGTTGCGCTTGCCGAGACAATCTGCCAAACTGTGTAACGGAGGGACTGGTTCGTGTGTGTTTGCTGCTGTCGTTAAAGTGTTATGAAGAGAACTAATACTTGTTTGACAGTACTGCTGGTGGTGTTGGTTGCATTGGTTCTCCCTCGTTCAGCCGCCATTGAGCTTGTCGTGGATTACCCGCTGGGGAACTACCGTGTCGCGTCTCTTACGTGCTACGGTAATGCGTTTCACGATTCCCTCACGCCGGAGCAGAGACCCGCTGTATTCTTGAGGGACGGACTTAGAATCGACTCCGATTCGTCAGTAGTGTCCGTCGAAGAGATGACTGATACCAGCATCTCGTTTGTCTTCAATCGGTCGCAGGAAGGCGGTTTCAGCTGCAGAACGGCTGACAACCAAAATTCTAACGTAGTGTATCTTGCAGGTAGGTAGTCTACATAATGCGCCACGTTACCTAGTGTAGTCCTATGCCTTTCTTCCTGTAGCTCCTCCCTCCATGAACTATGATGATGCCATAGAAGATCGATACTTTATAATCCAATCTGCCAATGTTACTGTGAACTTGTCATGCCCCATCCAACCTGGGGTCCTGAAAGATAGATATTCAGTGACATGGACCCGAGTTACACCCGACTTAACTGTTACGCTGAGTGCAAACACTTTCAATATATCTGAGAGTGTGCCTCCGAAACAGCCAGTGGTGTTTAAATGTCGTGTGGGAATTGTGCATATGGTTGGTTCACCCCCTCGTGACCAAGACTATGATGGGCCAGAAGTCAGAGTACATACAAACGGTAAGAACACCATGTGCTAGTGATAACTAAATGAAATTATAGTGAGTTAACACAAGAGTGGAAAAGCAACAATTGAAGTTTATGTTACATAGCTACCTGCATTCATTTGGGACATTTATGGAATAATTGTCAGAAATAGCTATTTTCTGATGGCTAGGTAGGCTCGATTCACTCTCCAATTACTGTCAAGAGCTGTTATTCATCAAGCCACTGCCACCATTGGCTTGCATATTTAATTCTGACACTACCAAGCCACAATATATAGTATAGCTACTGCAAAGCGCTGTTACTCTTCAACTGCATCCTTTGGGCACATGCCCATAGGTTTCCCTGTGTCTGTGTGTAAAAGTGAGTCCTATTGTATGCAGCTTATAAGGTGTTTAACTCAGTAGTAGAGTGTCATGCTTATGTAATTTGTGTTGGGTTTGGTTGTGTGTGCAGGGGTGTGACTTTTCCTCTAGTGCTCATTCACCCTTATTTGTTGTTGTATATAAAAAAAAACCTGTGCATTAGAAGATCTCTTCAGTAGTCTACCACCCATAATGGCCTTAGCTTGCATACTTTCTTCATCAATGTAGCCCAAGTGTAGTGTGCTTATGTCAGTCTATAGGATTGTACCGTGGAAGCATCAAAAGTTACAACCGAGAGTGATTGTCAATAATAACTCTCAGCAGTCTCAGCAGTAGTTCCTACAGTGTAGCCCAGCCCAACAATTAGCAGTAGACCCATGCATGTTTGCTGACACACGCACGTAATTCACTGCGGGTTTGTACCTTTATGCCTTTTCAGATTGGTTTCAAATATTATTACAAGATGGAGTATATATAATTATGCTATATACTAGTAGGCGAATGCATGGCATTTTTGGTGAGCGGGAGCGAGCACACAATGACTGTATCTGCATTAGCCATCCTAGCCTGAGACCAAAAAACAGTTAAAAAAACCACAAAAAAAAACTAAAACATCAAAGGGCGAAAAAAGTAAACGAATCAGGCGTCTCGGCGCATACAGGATATCCTCCTCGGCGCTTATACGTTAACTAATACGTATTGGCTACAGGCGCCCTCTTGGCACTCTAGGAAAGTTGACCTTTCAACTCTCACACCCCGATCACAAAAAATTGTCGCAGTGATCACCTTACCTGGTCGCTGCCTCAAGCCAAGATATTTCGCCTTTGTGACAGAATTCTGTCACTTGATAAACAATCGTCACCGTAGAAATTCGTCGCCACGAAAGGAGAATCGTCTACGCGAAAACGATTCGTCGCCCAGAAAAATATCCGTAACCCGATTACAGAGGTTTACGGTTTTGACACAAACGGCGCGCCATATTAGCCAAGCTGAAGTTACGTCAATGGTGTATCATCGAAGCCATTGAAGTGGCACAACTCTACTGTATATAGCAGTTTGACCAGACCATCTCTCCTTGCGTGAGGGTCTGGCTAGCGAGACTAATCCACTCGCTCTGTGTTCCTTGGAGGCACAAGAACTAAGGGCGTGCGTATCGACTCCCGCATGCTATCTACTACTGTAGCTAGCCTGTGTCAGACTCTTCGCGAGCTACTAGCATGGAGACGACGAGTAAAACGCATACTCTTGGCCCAACCATCAATTAGCGGTACCGCACATGCGAGGGTTTACACTTCAGTGCTTTTCATTGTTGTAGTGTTGGGGTCTGGGAATGGGACTATTTATAGCTGGCACTAGGGGACTGCCCACAGTCACGTGATGTGGTGAATGAACAGAAGGTGCTAGTGAATGATGGGGTCAGGCTTTACCGAGAGATATGAGGATCACAGATTCTGTTCTACCTGTACCCACTACAAATGGCCTAAATACGTGTGCTAATAGCAGTGACATGACGTGCTAATAAATAACAGTGGTGTGCTGGAATCTCTAGCTGAGTAATAGCATCTGTCCACCATAGTAGTTTCCCTTAATCAGTAACCTGCTAAGATAGCAGTGTTTGTGGAGCATGTTGCATCCTTACTTATTTGATGATACCAAACTGAACCACAGAGGTACAATTTTATGGTCTAGTAGCATAAAAACCACTGGTGCATGATAGCTACCTGAAAAAGTCTCCAAATACTGTGACAGTGACTGGCTCACCAAATCAATTCCATCATCATCCATGGCCGTATGTGGGTACAGTAAAATCCCACACCACACGCCCTACCGGCTGTGTGTTGTCGTAGTTGGAGGCACTACACTTAACAAACGCAATTCGTGGCAACAGCAGTAATATAACTAGTCCCCATCATTTTAGGTGCATCAACATGCACAATTACTAGCACTAGCACACTCATTGAGATTTCCCACTTTGGGGTATTTATGAGGATAATGAAAGCCTTAAGTTTTACTCTGCTCTATCATCACTATACAGTGCTGTCAAATCTCAGTAACGTTGTGAGTCCAGCTGTACCAGTAACTGTTGGAGATCGTGCTACGCTTCACTGCAATGTTCTGACACAGGACACTGATTTTGCCATCAGCTGGGGAATTGGCAGTGATGAATATACCTGTGACAGATCCCATGATGCAGACCATACCAACATCCAATGCTCTGTGAATGCCACTCACAGTGTACTCCAAATAGAATATTCCACCACTTTGGGTGCAAGGAATCACAGAGTACAGTGCATTATGCGGCAGATATTTCCTCAAGAGTTCATTGAAGATCCCTCCTTCCTCCCTATGTTCAGTGCTGACATCACGAGGGAAACAACTCTGGTTATACTGAATAAGCCTTTTGTTGCCAGTAAGTAGTGATAAAAAGTAGCTAATAAGATTATCCTCGGTCCTTGCCTCTGCTTGTAAACAGATACTGTAAAATTATAAACATAATCATGCATTACAGTAAACAAAGAAAGATTAGTGCAGTCACACAACAAACTTATACTTGCCATACTTGGTGACTAGAAAGAATATCTGGCGAGTCACTGTGCGAGAGTCACATGTGGAGGAGATAGCACAATTTAAACCCGGTCTTTGTGTTTGTGTTCTATTGTGTTGAAGATTTGAACCCCTACCAGCTCAGTTGCCCTAGTAGCTACCTCAGTTGGTAGAGTGCAGACTGCAGAGTATTGTGGGTTCGAATCCTACCCAGGGCAGCTCTGCTTTTTTCCTAGGAAAAAAAGAGCTGTCCTGGGTGTATATAGTTGACTTGTTTGCCTTTCTACCTCGTAGTTGAATTCAGGCCTGGGCGTTGCACGAAAGGTTCACAGGAGTTCTGTTCATTTATTTGTTCTGCTATTGTGCAGCTGGAGATCTTCGCTTGACCATTGACTACTCTAGTGCTGACAGCATGAGCTTCAGTAGCATGAGATTATCTTGTCAGAACAACTCTGGTGCTGAGCTTCCTTCCCCATCAGCTGTGTTCAAATTGAATGGAACAGAAATCATGAGTGAAGAGAATGTGCAGCATATTTCCCGCATACCAAACACAAACAATATTTCCATCGTCGTCTTCAACCAAGAGCAAGAGGGAGTATTATCTTGTGAATACGAGACAGAAATTGTCGCAGTCGAATTTGCTGGTATGTAGTTGATTTCTATTTTATCAGTCTCTGTGTGTGTATTCTTAAGTTTGTTTTTCATAGCTTCTCCACCCGACAAAGGCTCAAAAGAGGATCGCTATTTCATCCTCACATCTGCTGACACCATGCCGTCAACCTATCATGTGTTATACAACCAGGAGCCCCAGCAAACAAGTACAGTGTTCGATGGACTCGGCAGCTCTCTTCTCGTGCACCAATCCCGATGAATGAAACAACTTTCAATATAGCTGTGTTCGTGCCTCCGCGTGAGCCTAAAAGGTTTGCATGTCATGTGACAATTGAGCATTTGACTTTCAATAATGAGGTACTTTTGCAAGGATTGTATGATGTGCCACAGGTAACAGTGCATACCAAAGGTTAGCTCTTTCAAAGAGACAGTGCAGCACACTTTACTTAATGTTCTCTTTGTGTGCTGCAGTGCTATCAACTCTGTCTGCAGACGGTGACTTCAGTTATGTGACGGCAATAATTGGAGAACCAGCAAACTTTGCATGTACTATTGTGAGTGGTGATACTGACTTCAATATCATTTGGAAAATTGCTGGATTTGAATACTTCTGTGATCAACATGAAGTGGATCCCAACATCAAATGCAGTGTAAACAGCAACACCAGTTTGCTCCGGATAGAAAACACCAATTTTCTTGGGATTGGAAATCACAAAATCCAATGCATTTTGCAACCAGATATTCATCAAAACTACACAAATGATCCTTCCTTTATATCCCAGTTCAGAGAAAACATCACAAACACTGGAACTCTGGAACTATTGCAGAGTGACAGTACCACTGGTGAGTGATATGTAGGGCTAGCTAACTGGATGCTTTTTGCTGGTTATATATTTTCACATAGCCATTGAGACAATTACAACAACAGTTGCTACATCTACAGTTGCTGGAGTGACTCTTGTAGTGTGTACAACAGTAATGTTAATTTTAATTGTCTTGTTGAAGAAAAGAAACCGACGAAGGAAAGAAGACCACATTTTTGAAGGGCAAGTTATATATAGCATGAATCTGAACTACACCATATCAAATTTAATCTGCAACTACAGCCCCGAAAATAGAAACACCACACTATAGGATCTTGCATTATTAGTGCAAGTAAGATGTAGTCGCTTACACACTTCCCCTGCACATGTAGGAAACCATGAGCTTATGTAGTCTGCTAAATGGCATTCAATGAGCAGAAAATTATCCTATTATTCCTGGGTGTGCTGGAACTATGCAGAGTATTCAAAAATCAGAATGTAATGTGGTACAGCTTAATGTTTTTGTTTGGTCATTGCCTGAGTTAGCCAAGAAAGACAAGCCTGTCCATGCAATCCTAGTGAACTCCACTCCATTGATTTCAGAGAGCTGGCTACAACAAGACCCCTACCAGAGCTACCTCCCTCTCCCTCTCCTCCCCCACCAATGGATCTGGTTCACCAACTGCAGAATGAGCTAGTACTTAAGAACATGCTCTACCTGAAACACCAGTTGCATCTTAGTAAAGTCATTGGTGAAGGTAAAGAGATGGCAATGTGAGGTTGTCAGAATATTGTCTACACGTTTATTACCTGAATTTGCTCTCAACTCATTATTTGCCCACCTCTAATGTGCCTTGAGAGCACCCTTCATTTTCAAGGTTAGTCCCTATGACATATTTACACCGTTTAATGCTTCTGCTTTTGAACACTATAAGTGCTTCATTATCTAACTGCGCAGAAAAAACACGCAGTGGTGCATGTGTGAAAGACCGGTGCATATCTACATCAACCAAAACAAATTATGCCATTAACTATAGGAGAGTCAGGTCTGGCGTATCGTGGGTACATCAACGGCAATGAATTGGTCGCTGTTAAGACTGGCAAAGGTACAATACCATGAAGGTTTTCTTACTTGTGTTGATTTTACTTTTTATTGGAAACTTTCCAGCCCTGCTATCTGGTTCAAATAAAGAGAGGCTTCTAAAAGAAGTGACTCTGATGCTGTCCTTTGATCACCCCAATGTGATGTCACTGATTGGGATATGTTTTGATGGCGAGGTGCCCCTGCTTATTATGCCATTCATGTCAGGCGGCAGTGTGCTGAACTATGTCACTCAAAACAGAGAGAATCTCCACTTCACTGATGACTCCCTTGAGAATGAAGTATGATAGCAATAGTATCCACGCCAAATAGGTTGGATGTCAGGCAGTTTAATTAGAAAGAAAGGTCTAAATTTAGCCCTTGTGTATAATTATACAGTCACATTCCCTTACATTACTGACAGGTTTCCAATGCTAGAAAGAAGTGTCTGGGCATGTGTCACCAGATTGCTAAAGGAATGAGCTACCTGGCCATGAAGAGGTTTATCCACCGCGACCTGGCGGCAAGGAACTGCATGTGAGTATAGTCACCTTGCTTTCTCAGATTATGTATCATTAATTGCCATCATGTAGACCTCACATGTAACAATAGACCATGTGATGCCAAGAGAAAAAAGATGCGGAGCGACCCTCATCAGCAAAGCATACTGCAACTTCTCTCTCTGGCATCACGAGTTTATAAAGGCAAAGTTGAGCGCAGCACTTGTGGTTTTGAACTAATGAGATTCATCCCCACAAGGCTTTGCTCATGCAGGCGCAGCGCTTGTGGTTCTGAACTACATCCCCACAAGGCGTTGCCAGTACCGAGCCAAAACCCGAATTCAGAATGCTGACATAGTGGATTGGGCCGCGGCAATGAAGCCAGCAAGCACCCATATCCTGCCAGCGCGTACACATGTAACAATAGACCATGTGATGCCAAGAGAAAAAAGATGCGGAGCTCTGCTGTTTCGGGCTTGTTGGCCCTCATCAGCAAAGCATACCGCAACTTCTCTCTCTGGCATCACGAGTTTATAAAGGCAAAGCTGAGCGCAGCACTTGTGGTTTTGAACTAATGAGATTCATCCCCACAAGGCTTTGCTCATGCACACTCAACACCAGCCAAAGACACATAAATCTGTCATAAAAACTAGACACACATCATTTTCTGCTTAGTTAAGGGAGTAGCTACCCATGGCGTCAAAAGGTTAATGGGACTTCTGTACCATACCACTGCTTTACCAGTGGTCTATTAGCTGAGCCTTATAAGTCAAAGTAGGATTGATAAACAGGATCGATATGACTGGAAATGGAGTGATAAAGGTGGCAGACTTTGGATTGGCAGAGGACATATACACCCGCAACTACTATCGTCACAACGGGAGTGAGGGTGGGGAGAGGGTACCCATCAGGTGGATGGCCCCTGAGAGTATCGACACCAACATCTACAATGAGACCACCGATGTGGTTAGGGAAAATAAAGGTTTTTTGATGCGTAGTTGAGTCTCTCTATTCTTTCATCGTCCGCTAGTGGTCGTTTGGAGTGACATGTTGGGAGGTGTTCTCATGTGGCAGAGTTCCCTACACTGGATTACCAGCCATGACTCTGCTCTCTGAGCTCCATTCTGGACACAGATTGGAGAGACCCTCCAACGTTGCCTGCTCTGATCAGATGTAAGTTAGACAAGTGTGAAATAGAAGCTATATAATAGGATAATGATTGTATCTCTCCTCCTCCTCCTTCCCCTGTCTATCTCTTTAGTTGGAAAATGATAGGATTGTGTTGGTTAACAGATCCTCAGCAGAGGCCGGAGTTCACTGATCTGACCAGCAAGTTATTGAATCTTCTGGACTCTGACTCCTCCTACCTCAGACTATAGCGATAGTGATGCTACAGAAAGTGAAAATAATTACCAAGTGGTTGAGACATACATACTATATATGTAGCATGTAGCCGACACTCAGACTGACATTGGCTATGCTGCCCACTCACACACCTAATTAATGTGTTGGCCCAATTGTTGGTCTTTTTTTAAGGCACCAATCATTCATCACATCCACCCCTGGTCAAAGACAATGTTCAGGCGTACGTGGTATCGTGTGCTGCAGACAGATAGAATGTCGGAATCTACCTACTTGGTAGCTACCTTGTGAGCCCGTAACTACCAAGAACTTTGGCCACTAGGGGTTAATTGGTGTCCCTAAGAATGCCTCTAGTTGTTGCTAGAATTTTAACCACACGGTCAGCTGTGTGAGTGGGGAGCATATGCGACAGGGCAAAACTGCTTCAGCTGTAGTTCCGAGAACTTTGGCTAGCAAACTCTGGACCATGTGGTACATAGCTAGATCAATTGTACCATGTACCTAGCTAGCTAGCTACCTC